TGTGCAGAGTTGGCTTCATCTGGTACCCCTGAAAGCAGGGATGGCTTTTTGCTGCCATTTAGTACAGACCAAGTAGAGTCACTGGTATGGTTATTGGAGGATGATGTGGCTTGCTTCTTGGAGCATTATTCAGCATGTTCACAACAGGTGCTAATGGATTGTATAAACGCAGTGCAGTCTTTGGTCAGACAGGCTATGTGTAAGCTGAGCTTTGTTCAACCAATACTACAGTCCTGGTCAGACTTGTTACACCCAGCCTCAGGCAGCTTGCAACAAACCAGTTCTGCTTCCAATCATTCCTCTGCTCAAAGCTCTATTCCTGCATTCCCAACAGCACCCCCAGTGACAGCCCAAATATACCCTGTTCCCACTCGCTGCACCTATCCTGCCTTTAACCCTGTAAAAAAGGCCGCTGTAGCAACTATTCCCTCCTCTGTTCCATCCTCCAGCTCTTCTCTGTCTCCAGCTACTCCCTCCATTTACAGACCTGCATTTATTTGCAGTGCCTCAGTAACTAAACCCAAGAAGAAGCGAAAATTCTTTCCAACCAGTATCCAAACCGGTCAGCTTGCCATCTGTGAACCCGCCTTCCGTTGTTCAGCCTGATGCCTGATGACCCAGTGTACGCTACCCATCCTGATGACCCGATCCAGCCTGATGACCCGATCCGGCCTGATGACCTGATCCGGCCTGATGGTCCTACCCAGCTTGATGGTCCTACCCAGCTTGATGATCCTACCCAGCCTGATGATCCTACCCAGCCTGATGACCCGATCCAGCCTGATGATCCTACCCAGCTTGATGATCTGGTGCCCGCTACCCAGCCTGACGATCCTACCCAGCCTGATGATCCTACCCAGCCTGATGACCCAACCCAGCCTGATGATCCTATCCAGCTTGATGATCTGGTGCCCGCTACCCAGCCTGATGGCCTGATCCAGTCTGATGGCCCGATCCAGCCTGATGATCCTATCCAGCTTTATGATCTGGTGTACGCTACCCAGCCTGATGACCCGATCCAGCCTGATGACCCGATCCAGCCTGATGACCCGATCCAGCCTAATGACCCGATCCAGCCTGATGATCCTACCCAGCCTGATGACCCAATCCAGCCTGATGATCCTATCCAGCTTGATGATCTGGTGCCCGCTACCCAGCCTGATGGCCCGATCCAGCCTGATGGCCCGATCCAGCCTGATGATCCTATCCAGCCTTATGATCTGGTGTACGCTACCCAGCCTGATGACCCGATCCAGCCTGATGACCCGATCCAGCCTAATGACCCGATCCGGCCTGATGACCCGATCCAGTCTGATAACTCGGTGCCCGCTGTCGAGCTTGGTGACTCGGTGCCCGCTGTTCTGCCAGATGACTCGGTGCCCGTTGTCGTGCCAGGTGACTCGGTGCCCGCTGTCGTACCAGGTGACTCTGTGCCCACTGTCGTGCCAGGTGACTCGGTGCCCGCTGTCGAGCTTGGTGACTCGGTGCCCGCTGTTCTGCCAGATGGCTCGGTGCCCGCTGTCGTGCCAGGTGACTCGGTGCCCGCTGTCGTGCCAGGTGACTCGGTGCCCGCTGTCGAGCTTGGTGACTCGGTGCCCGCTGTTCTGCCAGATGACTCGGTGCCCGCTATTGTGCCAGATGACTCGGTGCCCGCTGTCATGCCAGATGACTCGGTGCTCGCTGTCGTCGTGCCAGGTGACTCGGTGCTCGCTGTCGTGCCAGGTGACTCGGTGCCCGCTATCGAGCTTGGTGACTCGGTGCCTGATGATCCTACCCAGCCTGATGACCCAATCCAGCCTGATGATCCTATCCAGCTTGATGATCTGGTGCCCGCTACCCAGCCTGATGACCCGATCCAGCCTGACGACTCGATCCAGCCTGATGATCCTACCCAGCCTGATGACCCAATCCAGCCTGATGATCCTATCCAGCTTGATGATCTGGTGCCCGCTACCCAGCCTGATGGCCCGATCCAGCCTGATGGCCTGATCCAGCTTTATGATCTGGTGTACGCTACCCAGCCTGATGACCCGATCCAGCCTGATGACCCGATCCAGCCTGATGACCCTGTCCAGCCTGATGACCCTGTCCAGCCTGATGATCTGGTGCCCGCTACCCAGCCCGATGGCCCGATCCAGCCTGATTACCTGATCCGGCCTGATGACCCGATCCAGTCTGATAACTCGGTGCCCGCTGTCGAGCTTGGTGACTCGGTGCCCGCTGTTCTGCCAGATGACTCGGTGCCCGCTGTCGTGCCAGATGACTCGGTGCCCACTGTCAAGCTTGGTGACTCGGTGCCCACTGTCGAGCTTGGTGACTCGGTGCCTGCTGTCGTGCCAGATGGCTCGGTGCCCGCTGTCGTGCCAGGTGACTCGGTGCCCGCTGCCGTGCCAGGTGACTCGGTGCCCGCTGCCGTGCCAGGTGACTCGGTGCCCGCTGTTGAGCTTGGTGACTCGGTGCCCGCTGTTCTGCCAGATGGCTCGGTGCCCGCTGTCGTGCTAGGTGACTCGGTGCCCGCTGTCGTGCCAGATGACTCGGTGCCCGCTGTTGAGCTTGGTGACTCGGTGCCCGCTGTTCTGCCAGATGACTCGGTGCCCGCTATCGTGCCAGATGACTCGGTGCTCGCTGTTGTGCCAGATGACTCGGAGCGCGCTGTCGTGCCAGGTGACTCGGTGCTTGCTGTCGTGCCAGATGACTCGGTGCTCGCTGTCGTGCCAGGTGACTCGGTGCCCGCTGTCGTGCCAAGTGACTCGTTGCCCGCTATCTAGCTTGGTGACTCGGTGCCCGCTGTTCTGCCAGATGACTCGGTGCCTGATGATCCTACCCAGCCTAATGACCCAATCCAGCCTGATGATCTGGTGCCCGCTACCCAGCCTTATGGCCCGATCCAGCCTTATGGCCCGATCCAGCCTGATGGCCCGATCCAGCCTGATGGCCCGATCCAGCCTGATGGCCCGATCCAGCCTGATGGCCCGATCCAGCCTGATGGCCCGATCCAGCCTGATGGCCCGATCCAGCCTGATGATCCTATCCAGTTTGATGATATGGTGTAAGCTACCCAGCCTGATGACCCGATCCAGCCTGATGACCCGATCCAGCCTGATGACCCGGTCCAGCCTGATGACCCGGTCCAGCCTGATGACCCGGTCCAGCCTGATGACCGGTCCAGCCTGATGATGGTGTAAGCTACCCAGCCTGATGACCCGATCCGGCCTGATGACCCGATCCGGCCTGATGACCCGATCCGGCCTGATGGCCCGATCCGGCCTGATGGCCCGATCCGGCCTGATGGCCCGATCCGGCCTGATGGCCCGATCCCTGGCCTGATGGCCCCGATCCGGCCTGATGGCCCGATCCGGCCTGATGGCCCGATCTGGCCTGATGGCCCGATCTGGCCTGATTACCCGATACGGCCTGATTACCTGATACGGCCTGACGACTCGGTGCCCGCTGTCGTGCCAGGTGACTCGGTGCCCGCTGTCGTGCCAGGTGACTCGGTGCCCGCTGTCGTGCCAGGTGACTCGGTGCCCGCTGTCGTGCCAGGTGACTCGGTGCCCGCTGTCGTGCCAGGTGACTCGGTGCCCGCTGTCGAGCTTGGTGACTCAGTGCCCGCTGTTCTGCCAGATGGCTCGGTGCCCGCTGTCGTGCCAGGTGACTCGGTGCCCGCTGTCGTGCCAGATGACTCGGTGCCCGCTGTCGTGCCAGATGACTCGGTGCCCGCTGTTGAGCTTGGTGACTCGGTGCCCGCTGTTGAGCTTGGTGACTCGGTGCCCGCTGTTGAGCTTGGTGACTCGGTGCCCGCTGTTCTGCCAGATGACTCGGTGCCCGCTATCGTGCCAGATGACTCGGTGCCCGCTGTCGTGCCAGGTGACTCGGTGCTCGATGTCGTGCCAGGTGACTCGGTGCTCGCTGTCGTGCCAGATGACTCGGTGCTCGCTGTCGTGCCAGGTGACTTGGAGCCCGCTGTCGTACCAGGTGACTCGTTGCCCGCTATCGAGCTTGGTGACTCGGTGCCCGCTGTTCTGCCAGATGACTCGGTGCCTGATGATCCTACCCAGCCTGATGATCCTATCCAGCTTGATGATCTGGTGCCCGCTACCCAGCCTGATGGCCCGATCCAGCCTGATATCCCAATCGAGCCTGATGGCCCGATCCAGCCTGATGGCCCGATCCAGCCTGATGATCCTATCCAGTTTGATGATATGGTGTAAGCTACCCAGCCTGATGACCCGATCCAGCCTGATGACCCGATCCAGCCTGATGACCCGATCCAGCCTGATGACCCGGTCCAGCCTGATGACCCGGTCCAGCCTGATGACCCTGTCCAGCTTGATGATATGGTGTAAGCTACCCAGCCTGATGACCCGATCCAGCCTGATGGCCCGATCCAGCCTGATGGCCCAATCCGGCCTGATGGCCCAATCCGGCCTGACGACTCGGTGCCCGCTGTCGAGTGTGGTGACTCGGAGCCCGCTGTCGTGCCAGATGACTCGGAGCCCGCTGTCGTGCCAGATGACTCTGAGCCCGCTGTCGTGCCAGATGACTCGGTGCCCGCTGTCGTGCCAGGTAACTCGGTGCCCGCTGTCGTGCCAGGTGACTCGGTGCCCGCTGTTCCACCAGATGACTCGTGCCTGCTGCTCCACCTGATGGCCCGGTGCCCAGCCTGATGTGCCTCTGTCCGCTGCCCAGCCTGATGTGCCTCTGTCCGCTGCCCAGCCTGATGTGCCTCTGTCCGCTGCCCAGCCTGATGTGCCTCTGTCCGCTGCCCAGCCTGATGTGCCTCTGTCCGCTGCCCAGCCTGATGTGCCAGCCCCTGATATCCAGCCAGTTACCTAACCCAGGCGGTGGAACATTTTGCCCACTAAGGACTGTTTGGAGCGTCCTGAGGCCGCTCCTTAAGGGGGGGGGGGGTACTGTCAGGAATGGACTCGCCAATGTTGGTGGGACTCATCTGCCGTGTGCGCTGCAGTACCAGGGCTGGCCAGCGGGTGCTCTCAGCAACCAGAAGCTCACTCCTGCAGTCAGCCATCACCTGAGGCTGATTGCAGGAGGTGTATTTAAGGAATGGCCAGACCTGCAGTCAGTGCCTTGGTGTATGTTTCCCATGAGCCCCTGTGCCTGCATCCTGTCTGATCCTGCTTTGATCCTGACTCTGAACGAACTCCGCCTGTCCTGACCTAGGCTATTCCTGACCACTCTTCCGCTCGCTCCTGGTACCCTGTTTGCCCGTTAGCTACCGACCCGGCCCGCCTGACTACGTTGTGCTCCATATATATATATATATATATACATATATATATATCAGTTTAGGTTTGGGTTTGTTTCACCTTGTTGTATGTATTTGTGTTAGTTTTGGGTTTGGTGTGTTGCACTGCGTTTATGTTTGTGTTGTCCTTAATAAATTATCTTGTTTACACGCTATACCTGAAGTCTGTGTTTCCCTGTGTCGGTCCACACATCTCTGGTCATTCCCGGAGCCCTGACAGGGCATCTTCTCGTGAGATTTGGGATCCTCAGCATTTCCAGGATCTTGCCAGGAAGTCTGATCCACTTTTAAGAGTAAAATTACGCTGCTAACAAGTACCAATTGGTTCACTTTAAACTGTTTTGTGACAATAGACTTTAGATCTTGGAGTTGTAAGAGAATTGTGTGCCTGTACAATGGTTTAGAGCTTGGTTTACTTTGTACCTCTGAACATGCACTATGAGTAATATAATTGCAGGTTCCATGGCACAATGTCCCCTTCTGGCTTAAGCTGTGTAAAGACTTTTCCAAAACAACTCCACTTACCTTGATCCACCAGTATGTGGTTGGTATTGTTAGCGCTGTTGAATTTAAAATATGACAAAGTGCAAAAAAATAAAAAGTGGATCCAAAATCCTTTGTCTGACGTTTCTGTTAGTGGTAGTTTGTGAAACACTGACTAGAGAGAGATGTGGTTTTAATGTAATAACATACATTTTTGTCTCTTTGCAGATTGAAACAACTGATAATTACAAACAATAGAATTTCATCAATTGAATTTCCTGTCACTCATTTTGGTCAGTTTCTTCTTCTTGTTTTTTTAGTCTTTTTTTTTTTCTAAACTATGCATTAATGTTGTTTATTTATTTTGATTTCATTTAGGGTACAGTACCGAATTTTTTTCCTGCCTTACTAGTTTATCAGTTGATGGCAATAATATACTACTGGTAAGATACAACATTGATTTATTGGTATCATTTAGTAAAATGTTTGTTAGTGGGGTACCTGGGTAGTATCACCAGTTATTTTAATCTCTGTAAATAGACCTGAATAGATACAGTATCCACTAAAACTAAAGAGAGACATAAGACTACATATGTGCCAGTTCAAAAAAAGTTAGGCAAAATTGCAAAAAACATTTACACATAGCAGTATACAAATGTTGTGACATTCCAGAAAAAAAGTTTATCTTACCTGTAAGTTACATTGTTTTGGGTGTGCAAGATACCACGTTTTCAGGCTGGGGACTTCATTACTTCAGACTACAGTCTTTGGATCCTTTGAATGTGCTGAACAAATAGGCGTGATTAAAATTATGTGCAGCTTCCTGTACAGCAATAGAAATACAAAATATTTAAGTTAAGATTGTGATCAAGGCCAATATATGGCTTAGGCATACCACTGTATAATGCATTTTCATAATAAAAAGTTTGATGCTATTTGGAACCCTGAATCAAAATAAAAAAAAGAGAGTGCACTATTAAAAAAATAACAATGTATGTCCTGTCTAGTTGCACAGCACTGATGATTTGCACAATCTGCATTATCAGACCATCTTGTGTACAAAGTAGCTTCATCTCACTGAAGTTAAAATACAGGAGTTTAAAACAACTGTGTTTAATAAAAGCTATTTCTTAATCATTCATTAGGCAACAGGGCGTCAAAGGAATTCAGAGCTGATTGGGTTATACTACTGCATACAAGTGAATTGGCTACTTGTTTAGTCAGCCAGGTATAACAACTCCCCTTCCCATCAAGCATCAATTTCTTGCTCGTGTCCTACCAACAAACCCACTTCAATTGACATTTTTTCATTTTAACCCTGTTTTGTGAGCATGTTAGCGCTTTGCTGTTTCCCACCCTTAAGTTGGCCTGCTTTAGTACATCTCAGTTGTCTCAGAATTTTTTCTGACTCTGTGTCCTTTAAAAATGAAAAAGAAAACAAGATATTTGCTTTCCATTAAGTTCAGTAAGGGACACAGATCCCACCCCTCTGTCTTAGGCTTACTCCTATAATTGCTTTTGTACATTATATCTGGCTCACTAGCAACTTTTTTGTTTACCAGTGTCTCTTCTAGGCAGCAACACAACCCTGTTGTCTCAGAATTCATTCTGACCCCGTGTCCTTTAATGAACTCCAAGCAAAGGATTTTCTTAGTCACACAGCACAGGACACAGAAGATTACAACTTTACCATGGGTTATATGCTGCTACCTTCAGGTGATTGGACACTGGGAAAAAAAATTTGCTGCTGGGACATTCACTATATAACCCCTCTTGCTCCCAGCTGTCCTCAGTTTTTTGCTGGTGTCCTTAGGCTGTCTATTGGAAGAAGATGAACTTCTTCCTATGGAGGTTTTTTTGATCATACAGTACAGTACACAGGCTTACATTGATGATGACCATGGCTAATATGCTGCCACCTTCAAGTAAGGACACTGGCAAACAACATTTTTTTAGCACAGCCCATATAATCCCTCCCACTCCCAGAAATCCTTAGGTTTTGCTAGTGTCCTTGGGTAATGGACAGCCTCTGTCTACTGAGATCAGGTTTCTGGTTTATAATTCCAATTTCTACCTGAAAGACTCAGTAAATTAAATGCAAATATTATACATGAGTATGAATGTCCCGTATACTGTGTACTATAAATAAGTAAATAAATAAAGAGTCCAAGGTATAATATTGTGACTTGATATGCCCAGTGCGGGTACTAATCCTGCATCCAGATGTGAGAGTATGGAAAGATTGCCCACTCACCAGAAGCGCAATCTTAATGCACATATAGAAGTCTTGGGTAGCCGCAGGTCCTGTATAGGTACAGCCTGGTAATGGGTAATGCATAAAAAGATTGGCCAGGCTGGGAGCAAACTTGGCCCCCATTGCGATGCCTCTGGTCTGTAAATAAAAGGTATTCTTGAACCAGAAATAATTGTTTTGCATCGCAAAGTTCAGTAGGTCCAAAATAAATGTTTTATGAGTGGTAGAGATATTGTCAGCCAAGTCGAGATAGTAATTTGCCGCTGTCATGCCATCATTGGTTCAAGAATACCTTTTATTTACAGACGAGAGGCATCGCGATGGGGGCCAAGTTTGCTCCCAGCCTGGCCAATCTTTTTATGGCCAGGTGGGAGGAGGACATCATCTATTCCAGAGAGTGGCCCGAGCTCATCTTTTACAAGCGGTATATAGATGATGTCCTCATACTATGGCAGGGTGAGGAAGTAGCCCTTATTAACTTTTTTGGAACACTCAATAATAATAACCTCAACATCCAGCTTACTTACGAATATAGCACCAATCAAGTCAACTTTCTAGATGTTACCATAATAAATAAAGGAGGATACTGCACCACATAAGCCTATTTCAAACAATCAGACAGAAATGGCTACATCTCCACAGATAGCTGCCACCACCCACGATGGTTGGCCGGCATACCAAAAAGTCAATTTATGAGGATACGACGAAATTGCACTAACATTGAAACCTATTACGATAAAGCAAGCATCCTTAGGCAAAGATTTATAGAAAAAGGTTATACGGCTGACTCTCTAGATATGGAGATGGATAAGGTAGCAAATATGAATAGGAACAACATGCTTTCTGGCCCACCAACACTAAAAAAGAACATGTTCTGTCCATTCATTACCCCTTTCTCCATCCAATATAAATCTATACGTCAGATAATTAAGAAAAATTGGGATGTGCTTAGAGCAGATCCAATCCTCTCAGATGCTCTACCAGTGCAACCAGAAATTGTCTTTAAAAAGGTGCAATCATTGCGGAACACTATTGCTCCTAATGTAACAGATCCCCCCCCCTCGCCTTGGTTTCTTTACTAATCTGAAAGGATTTTTCCCCTGAAAAAGATGTCAAATTTGCCGACATAGCAACATGTCAAAAAAGAAAATTGAGTCATTTACCTCAACTACAACGGGAAAGTCCTATGACGTATCCACTTTTATTACTTGCAATACCAGATATGCGGTGTATCTCCTGGAATGCCCATGCCGTAAACAGTATATCGGCCGGACCACCAGAAGACTCCGAGACCGTTTTCGTGATCATATATACAATATTAAAAGAGGTTTCCGTGAACACTCACTATCGAAACACTACAGGGACTTCCACCATAGGGACCCATCATCCCTTAAGTTTGTAGGGATAGATGTAGCAAAACAACATTGGCGTGGCTCTAATAGATGCAGACAAGTTTCAGGTTTAGAAACTAAATGGATTTTTGAAATAAAGACTATGACTCCTGCAGGCCACAATGTTGAATTAGATATAAACTGCTTTATTGATAACAGCTAACATTCTCCACTTTGCACTTTATATCCCATATTTATATATATTTTATTCTGATTGACCACCATTATGAATATCACATGTATATAGTTTGTACAGTCTATACTGGCGTTTTGATTTTAACTTAGAGCGACTTCTTATAATATATAACGTATATTTCATTATGTATATATACATCTTATATTACATTTTAAGCGATTATTATCTTCATAATTATTATCTTTATCATTATCCTTACAATTTTTATACAATTTTTATACATATATATTTGTCTTATCTGTATGTTAACTATTTTAAGCTCATTATGAGCATTATTTGAGCGACATATTTATGTTCAATGAATCAAGTATGATAACTACTTAGCTCTATTGTTTACTTATTGTATACAATTTGCATTTCCCTTTTTTTGCCTCCTCATAGTATAAAGCTATTAGCTATACCTAATTTTA